TTGGGGGGGGGGGGGTTCTACCTGCTTATCCGCAACAAACTAATGCAGGTTCAGCACCGAGGCCTCCGGGAGACGTCGAAGGGCGACGTCGACGCCGTGTGCCTGGTGGTCGCGGCCGTGGACAGGCTGTTCCCCAAGTTCTCGTACAAGTGGCTCGCCGACGAAGTGGAGCGGAACCTCCCCCGGGAACTCGACTTCCTTCACGAGGCCAGCAACAGCCGCAGGTGCAGTCGGGCCGGGTAGAGGGGACAGACAAGCAAGAAGAGGGGGGAAGGGGGGGTACTCGTGTTTTTGCATGCCTTAGCTGTTGGACCATTGACGCGTGGGAGGGGGAGGTCTCAAGTGTTTTGCTCTCCTGGAGGCACTTGATTTGCTGTCGACTATGCGTCGTCGTCCCCGTTGGGATGGAATGGGGGGGCAGGAGGCAGGTCTGGGGGCAGTGGGACTGTGAGGGGGGCGGGTTTACGCGAGGGAACGGTAGCAAATGTACAAGACAATCCGGTGGAAATATTGCAGCGAGGTTATGTTTCTATGAAAGAGTCAAGAGGGAGAGGGACGGTGGAAACTTCCGCGCGTCGCACGGCCTTTGGTGTTCAATGTGACTTCGTAGTATTTCTATTTCTCTGCGTTTGTTGACCAACCGACCGAATGTGTTTTGCGGCTCCTGGGCTCTTCATCATAGGTGCGCGGCGATGTTTGAAGGGCGGAGTGACATCTGCGTACCCCCCGTTGTGACCGAGCAGACCGCCGAGAGGGTGCTCACCATGAAGTTCGAGCCGGTGAGCAGCGTGAAAATGAAGTTTTAGCTGACCGTACGGTGCTGATCATATTATCTGTGGATGGATTCTGCTTCCGCGAGCGCGACTACTGCCGCCGACGCATGTTGCGCTGGTCCCGCTGAGACGGCTACAAACACGGATAAGGGCGTGAGGGGGTAGGGGGGGGGGCATGAGGGAAGAACCAAGTGAGAGATGTGCGCTTCGACATATGTATGTAGGGACTCAGTGCTTGTTGGAGGTACACCGAGAAACACCGGGTAATAACCTATATCTGACCAGAGAATCACAGCGAGTGCCATAATTCCGGATTAGATTAGCAGAGCATTGATCCTTTCTGGTCGACCCCCCCCCCCCCCCCCCCC